ATAAAATATGAATCTTTGTCCATGTCTCCCAGGGATGTTAGGAGTTGTAGTATGACACATCTGAAGGGTAACAGCAAAGAAGGCTGGTCTACAGAAACCTAAATTAATCCATTTTCAGAACTTGGGAAAGGCCATGTACATACATCTGCTTTAGCACTCACCTATGCCAGAAAGACAGAAAAAGTGGCATGGGCCAAAACACCATTTATTGTCCCATGAAGCATCACACAAACCATGCAGAACCAACTGGTCAATTGTCAAGTGACAGGTAAAAGAAGAGCGTGCACTGCCTGGCTTGTACGCATTGACCACAACCTAACATCCACACCTCAAACCTGCAATAATGCCTATGAGAACTTACCATTGGCACGGTATGTGGGGCTGAGTTCACAAGGGATCTCCAGCAGGAGGAAAAGCAGCAAGGCGACAGAGTTTCAGAAACGCAGCAGGTGGGCAGGGAGAGTTAGCCACATAGCCCACCACATGCCTGCTGAAAGTAGCAACCTCTTCAAGTTTTCCCTAGAAGTAGAGTTTTGGTATACATGTTTCTACGTAGTGTGTTGTTGGGTTTAAGGAATCCCTATTAACTATCCTGAGCTTTAGAAGAAGGGTGGGCTTTAAATCTAAGCACACATTCATCACATAAACTGTTTGTGTGCATGTAGACAATCTTTCCAGAAAATTTTACAGTGCTTTTACTTTGATTCTGGGCTTTACTACACAGTTAGCATGTTTAGGATTGAGGCCTCTGTCTAAATTCTGTTTCTTGGCCAACTGGAACAAACATGACTAAAATCAAATGCTGACTTTCAGCATAGACAAGGCAACCCTGTTACTGTCTCAAGACAGCAGACAAAGAGGGAAGACCTGGTTTCTTAGCTTTCCTTCTTAGACCTGAACGCCAGAATGCTTGCACCTCTTGTTTTCAAATTTATTTCTTCAGGGTTTTTTTAATTGTCTGGTTTTTAATTGGGAGGGTAATATGCATATCCTCTTGTACTATCTTAAATTGGGATCAAAAGAAGGGTGTTACATTTTAGCACTCCACCTCTACTTTGTGGTTAAGTTTTTGGGTGAGCTAACTTTTCTTTCAGTCTCAGCAGTTTGCATTCTGAAAAATAAGTGTTTTTCGGTAAGCAGAACAAGCAAGCCATGACTGGTATTTTGTGAGAGCCCCCTCTACACACACTCAAACTACCAAATACAGCAAACAAACCAGAAAAGGTTGAGGAGCCCTGTTCTTATCCTTTATTTACTGAGATATAGAAGAAAAGACAGGTCTATTGCTCATCAAGGGACAAATCTGCACAGGCCTTTATTTTAAAAATTGTATAAAATAAGTTTACATTACATTAAACAAATTAAGCTACCTGAACATAGGTCCAGTTTATTCTCAAATGATTCACTCCCAGTGTATCGTACATCTGCGTCACCACAACCATTGTGCAGGTAACTGCTTATGTCAACACAACACTAAGGTGGATGCTTTCAGTACCTGCAGAGCAACATTGCTTTCCGTATGTTTGGCTCTTTGCATCCATTTCAGTTCTGGCTGGCAACCTGCATTTTTTACGTTTCAGGTCAATGGTGCATTCAACAATAGGAAAACCCATAATAAAACTGAATTCTGTATAAAGAGACATACAGTGGGGTTCTTATTAAGCTCATTCAAAATGCCACGGAAACCAAGAGGTCTTGACAAAACATCATCACATGAATCAAATTACAAGACCCAAGAGTGTTCATGAATAAAACCTGCAGGTGGTACAGCAGCCCAATTCTTGTTTTCATGGTACTTTCATGAAAAAGCCACTACAATTTCCATTTTTGTCCTGAAACGTAGTAACTTAATTCCATTTCCTAAGAAACAAGTGTCCTGGAAGAAAGAAGTAAGAGTCAAAAGTAGCTTTCCTTTCTACATTTGACCCAAGACACTGTAGTAAGGGCGTTTCCACCTGTACGATGCATTTTGAAGAATGAGGAAAAAGTTCCTGCAACTGAGCAGCCAGATTTTATACTGCAGCTGCTCTCAGTCACAGCAGACAAATGAAAACTCCTTTTACATGTGTTCTACCACTGATCTGCTGCCTTTCTAGGAAGGTGTTTTATGGACTGACAATACAATACCAGACTTCATCCAACCTAAATTTGATCCAGCAAGGTTTACCTTATGTTCTTAACCAATACGATTTGATCAACCATCTGCATTTTAACTAAGGACACAATCTTATGGGTTGTGTACCAGGCTCTCCACTGATTCGTTCTGCAGAACAGCAAAGGAGGTCTGAGATCATTTACTACATGCTATCAAAAAGGAAGGATGTTCTTCATGACTTCTGTCATGCCTTATTCAGTAACACAAGATCCAAAATAGTGTCTCTACATCAAAAACAGAGCAACAATGACAGAAAAGTCCTTTTGCCCATCACAGCAAATGATGAATTCAGAAAAAGAGGCTGATCCAGTGGGGGTCATTGCATGGGTGGAAGCAGTTTTCTTGGGAGAAGCTAAAGGATGAGAACCCTCCCTCCACCCTGCTGCCCCAACATGCACGCAGATTCTCCACCAGAACACTGGGAAACCCTTCAGAATCCTCAGAACAGGATTGTAGTAGCAAGAAAGCAAAGGTGCCACTGCACGAAGGACGTCCACTAGCATGATGAATTTAGTCCAATGTATCCAACACCCAAAGCTAACTACATAAGTGAAAGAAAGATTTCAAATAATTATATAGGAAAATGTGCCATCCATGCAATGCTATTTCATTAACATGAAAACTCTTGACAACTCAGGATATGATTCTTACCAACATTTTAACCATTTGATAACTGTAACTTTCACACCATAGTCTGGCTGTATGAAATGACTCTCACAACTCCGCTATCACAAACCCTTCTTATAATACAAATACAGAACCCATCCAGAAAGACAAACAGATACGATACACTCATCACTCAACAATCAATGACATCACTGGATTATGTACCTTGAGTATATATCCTCATACTGAAAGAAGGTAAGCTTCATACCCATAATCTAGTGAGGAACAACCGTCAGCGCTCAGTTTACTCTCAAAAGCTCCCTGTAAGCAGTCAGGACAGAATTCTGGCAAGAGTGACCCAGGGATGGAAAAACAAGAAAGAAAAGAGATGCTCTTTTGGCTTCAGTCATGTGCCCACTGACAGATTTGCTGAAGGTATGACTGAAAAAAGAAAAACAAGGTTAAAAAAAAAAGAACCCCCCCCCACTAATTTAATAGATTAACTGCCCAACCCTATTCATGTTTACTTAGAAGCACATTCCACAAAGTACAGAATGCAGTTCTATACACACTGACATGGCTGTAAGGCCCAGTGAACTCAAGGGGACTTCAAAGTAAGCATGTACAGGTTCACATCATTTGTCTCAGGTAAAGGTGCTTAGGATTGCTGGATGGAAACTGGTGTTTATAACTGATCTTTGCTGGATGAATAAATAAATGAATGGGACTGTACAAAAACCTTGGCTATTTCAACTATTATATCAGAAAGCTATTGCCAGCCAATGACTTGTGTGCATCACTTTGCATCAAGATTTGTGATTCAAATACCCTCCAAAACACCCTTAAAGTTGCATTTGTAACCAATTTTGCTTTCTCTGGTGGTGCTCCCCCCACTGCCTTGGTATCACAGAAAGCAGCACATTGGACTTCAAAAGAACAAAGGGGAGGAGGGAGGGGGATGAGTTGGTCTACTGCCAGCAGGACACTTTTCTGCAAGATCTTACAGCTATCCCATGGCTATCATCTATTTTCACAAAAGCCAAAACAGCATAGAAGTGACCTTGAATAGACTTGTCTTAAATAGCCAAACAGCGACTACCTCTTTCTATTCTGTCTGTTAAAAAAAAGAGTCCTGTATAAATCCAACTAAACAGGAACTGATCTAATGAAAGCAATCACCTGATTTATTTGTGTGTGTGCATTTTTTTCCTTAGCTGACTGTAGCGAAAGGAGGGGTGGGGAAGGAGGTTGTTTGCCAGGGGCGCCGGTTCAGAATGTGTGTCCCAGTCTTGTATGAAAGTGGGAGACTTTGAAACAATAAGTTAATGGGGAGGGGCAGTGGAAGAAGAGGCATTCTTTGGAAGGAAGAAGGAAGAAAAGACTTGGAATCTGAGAAGAGTAGCTGTTTGCCTGCAACAGCAAAAGAGCAAGAGACCAGAAGCGACGTGGCACCTTGCAGGCCTGCAGGAGGAGAGATTTCAAGGTATGTATTGCATCATAAAAACAGTTGCCAAGGGGCTGCTGCCATTATTTTCCTTCTCCCTCTAGAAATCCCAACTGCAGTCTGACTAGACAGGCAGGAGCTTCATGACACTCCTTCTCCAGAGGTGGTGCAAGCTTGGGCAAATACCACAGGCAGGCACACACTCCAGGAGAGAGGATGGGAGTCTGAGGAAATGCACACATGAAGAACCGTGCTGGGCCACACATATGCACGGGGGCAGGAAATTCATCTGGGGTGCCTCATTTCTGAAGCTGCAGGTCCTGTTGAAAAGTCACAATCCTACCTCACAGAGGTGTCATGGGGATAAATGGAAGGGAAAACCATAAGAAGGAAAGGTGGGGCACAAATATATACCAAGCAAAAAGTATAATCAACCATGAAAAGGCAAATGAGAAAATGATGACGTTGCTGTAGATAATTAGTAATCAAGTAAAGTATCCTGCCTGTTCCTGGCCAGGACTCTGTGTACATTTTAAGGCACACTTGACAGGCAGAAATTCTACAGGTGCATCTTATCTCCATGTAGCTATAGACCTTCTAACTGGCTACTGCCAGGGGCAGAGGGAAACAGCAGCCTTGCTCTGCACGTGGAAAGGTGCATTTTTCTCACCATCATCACCAGATTTGAGAGTAGAACCTGGAAAATTATTCTAGGGCTTCTGGAGCCAAGCCGTAGTTGGGGCTTCCTTCAACGCCTGTCTCTTCTCTGACACTCTAAGTAATTTGGGGATTTACCTGGGGATGTAGCCAGCCTCCTCCCCGAGTCGGAGCTCGAATTCCCGCCAAGCCTGGCAGGCTCCCATCGCCGCAGCCTCGGCCAAGCCATCGACGGGATCCCCCGTCCCGTCCACCTCCTCTTCCTCCTCCGAAGACTCCCCGCGGTTGCCCCGCCGCCGCCGCTGCTGCGATTGCGGATGCGGCTGCCGCCTCCGCCGCTGAGTGGCGCCGCGGAAGCCGCGGGCGAACTCGTGGAAGGTGATGGCGCCGTCGCGGTCGGTGTCCAGGCGTTGGAAGATCGCTTCTGCCTCGGCCGGCCGGACCCGCAACTCGGCGCACAGCGAGCCGAAGTCGTCGCGCTCGATCCGGCCGGAGCCGTTCACGTCACAGGCCAGGAAGAGCGAACGGAGCCGGGACGCTTCGTCGAAGTCCACCTGCTCGCTTTCGGGGGAGCCCATCACCAGCGGGAGCGGCCCGAGGGAGCAGGGGGGCGGCGGTGCCGGATTCAGCGCCCGGGACGGCGGATCCGGCTACAGGAAGCTCCGCACGTCGAAACCACCGCCGGGCAGGGAGAAAGCGCCGAGCCCGGCACCCAGTCACCGGTTTTGCTCGCGCGCGCCGCGGGACCGCCCCTTCGCTGCCCCACCCCCGCGCTGAGAAAGTTCTTCCAAGAGTTCAGCGCGCCGAGTTTGCAACATCCGCCCCGTCCAAACCTGAAGGAGCGCCGCTTGGGGCCGGAGGGGGCGCCGCGAACGCTTTCTGGGCCCGCCCACAAGCCGGGAGAGCGGCAGGAAAGACGCCCCCGCCTTGCCTGGCCTTCCGTTGGACGGTCCCATTCAACACCGCCCGACCTTCCCGGACACCGCGGACCTGCGGCGCATGTTTCTGTGCGTTCAACCCGAATAGTGCTAGATCCTGGAGGGAGAGCGCCCGCGACAGAGCTGAGGTCGATGCCTGTACCTCACTATCAAAAAACAAAACAAAACAGATAGCCGTTTAGGTAGAATGAAACTACTGGTAATGTATTTACAATGTGCCCAACGCATTGGTTGTTTTTACAAGTGATAAAAAGTTTGTGCTATCCATTTTTGCAAGCGGAATACAAACTTCGGGCTGCATTCAATTTTAAAATTTGTCTTCATCGGTTTTGCGTTACACAAGAGCAATATTGGCAAGTGATTGATTGCGGACTTTTAAAAAATGTTTCTGGTATCATTTGTGACATGCACAAGAAGGTCCCTCTTAGAGCACAGCCTTTGTCCCATGTAGGCTAGCCTTTCCCGGTTGTGTTGGATGTCAAACATGGTCAGTGGTCAGCAGATGATACTTGTAGTCCAAAATACCTGGAAAACACCAGGCTGGAGAAAGCTGATTTAGGGTGGAATTTCATGCACCCTAAATCATTTCCTCAGAAAAAAAGCCCTACAGTTCCCAGGATTCCCTAGTCTCCCTTGTTTTTTCCTAAGAGGGCATAGAATTGCACCCTAAACAATGAGTAGCAGCAATTTTTCTTAATTTCTTAGAGATCTTTTTGCTGTAGTTCAGTGGTGGGGAACGTATGGTCTTCCAGTTAGATGTTGGACTGCAACTCCTATCAGCCTTAAATACAGTGTTGTATAGGGAACACTGAGTGATTGTGGCCAGTGCAATCCAACAATATCTGTGCTGAAACTGGGCCCTTGTCCCATGCTCAGCCACTGAGCTATCAAGTCTTGTGCTGTGTACTGGAAAATACAAGGAAAATTAAAAAAAAAAAAAACACCCTCAACCTCTTTTCCAGAGTAGACTTGGTTCATTATCTTAAGTCCTTGACTTTAGTCTAGACTTTTACAGGCTCCAGCAAGTGGGTGGTATCAACAAATTAAGCAGCCTGACCTTTCCACTTGCGGAACAGTGAACTCAAAATAGATCACCTGAGAGTCAAGGAAAGGAAGTGGCCTTTACTTGTAGCACTGGTTTGGTGAGGTTGGAGAAATGCTGGGGAATAATTAAAGAAAATGCTCTCTTGCTGAACTGGTTTCTGACCATAACCCTGCTCTACTTTAACAATTGTAACTTAGATTGTGGCATCTATAGTGAAAAAATATTTGCTTTCATTTTTTTTAAACCATGTAAATTTTTTATAGATGACTATTGCATTAAGATTGTTGCAGACATAATTGCGTCACATTCATTTAAAACCATAGCCTGCCCTGATGCTTAGTATAGCCTTCTTCTTGATCCTGTATCAATTACCACGCTGTAAAATAGGAATAAAAAGAATTCAACAAACTGAGAAACAGAGGTATGTGAAAGCTAATCTTTGTCACTGTGGCTGAGCAGAATTTGAATCCATGCCTTCCAGGTAGAAGTTGAGAATCTTTTCATTATGTCATTCTGTCTTCAGTATGGTATGAATTAAGCTGCATTTCAAAACACACATTGTAAGATATAATAATCCAAAACCAAATTAAAATATTATATAAGCTGAACTGAGAAATACTACAGTCAAATATTATTGGGAATATAGTACTTTTGAAAGTATTGCCTAATTAGATACAGTCTTCTCACAGTAATGCTACTTCCTATGCTTGGGTTATTCTTAAGCTTTAGAATGGATTATGTAGGATCCTTTGCTTATTAGAATAAGCAAAAGTACAATTGTTAAGCAGAATGTATACATGTATACATAACACTTGTAATACTGTTTGATGCAAGACACTGATATTTCTACACAAAAGAGGAGCATTATTCAATAGTATTGCTGGTGATAATGGTACCAATTCTAAACAAGTTGCACTGGTTGTAGCTCTGGAGACCAAGCCATCATAACTCCCAAGGAGAATGGGGCATCAGGATCCCAGGTAGATAAATCATTTTAGCGCAGAATTGGTGGACTATCTGCACTCTGGATAAGAAAAGGAGATCTTATCTCAGAAGCAGCAAAGTATTCAGTTTCTTTGGTAAAGAAAGGAATTCTAATTTTCCAAGGGAGTGAAGGCACTAATTATATATATATTTTCCACATTATAGTTGAAGCTGAAACTTGGAAGGCACCTTAGAGGTAATCTAGAAATCCATCCTGAAGGAGCACTTACATCCATATATGCCCAGCCACCCCTTGAGATCGGCAGGAGATGCCCTTCTCCGGGAACTCTCCGTGAAAGAAATTAGGAGGGTGGGGACTCGGAGGAGGGCTTTCTCTGCGGTGGCGCCTAAATTATGGAATGCGCTCCCCAGAGAGGTCCGCCTGGCGCCGTCGTTATTTGCTTTTCGGCGCCAGGCGAAGACCTTTTTATTTAAGCGGCATTTTAACTGTTAGTATTATTTGATTTTATCTGGCCAGGGCGGCTTATTTTATATTGTATTTTTTGGATTTTTAATGTTTATATTTATTAATTTATTGTTGTAAGCCGCCCCGAGGCTTCGGCGAATGGGGCGGCATAAAAATGTTTTAATAAATAAAATAAATAAATAATCCCTGTGCTCTGTGGAGAAATTTTGTAAGTATAGCATCCCTGGGAGATGGGCAGTCCAGCCTCTGCTTAAATACCTTCAGCAAAGGAAAAGCCGCTACTTGCTGAGGGCGTCTATGTTGCTTAGGGAGTCTGTCAAATGGCTCTTAGCATTAGGATGATTCTTGTAATATTTAGTCAAAATCTGACTCTTTGTCATTTTCATCTATTCATTCTAGTTCTGTCTTGGAGAGCAACAGACAAGTCTGCTCCATCTTCTTTATGACAGCCTTTCTTATCTTTGAAGATTGCTATCGTGTCCTCCCCTTAATCTCTTTTCCAGGCTAATCATAGCAGTTCTTCCCATCGTTCCTCATAGGATTTCATTTCCAGAGGCTTGATTAATTACCTACAATTGCACACAGAGAACAAAACCTTAAGCACACAAGAGGAGCCATGCTGGATTAGTTCAAGGATCCAATCTAGCATTCTCTTCACACGGTGGCCAACCAGTTGCCCATGGGAAACCCACAGGAAGGGCATGGATGCAATAGTTGCCACCCACTTATGTTCCCCAGCAACTGCCATAAAACTTCTGATACTGCAGCAATCGTGGTTAATATCCATTGCTAAGTTTATCCTCCTTGAATTTGTCTAATCCCTCTTAAAAACATTCAAACTGGTGTTTCTCACTGCATGTTGTGGTAGTGGATTTCCCAGTTTAACTATACAGTGTGTGAAGGGGGGAAAATCCTTTGATCTTGTGTGGTATGCAAAGAAGTATCTTCCTTGGCAAAAATTCCATCATGGCAATCATCATGTGACTATCAGGCAAGTATGGTGTTACAGAAGCATTTGAGATGTTTTGAGTTTCAAGAGAGAAAAGTAAGCAAAAAGTAATTTCAATTCATAGGATAGAATCAAATGTCATTTTAAGTCCTATTGATTTAAATTGGTTTACGCTAAGTAGGACTAACATAAAATATAACCCCTAGGTTCAGGCTGTGAGCAAAGTACAAAACTGGGAGATTTTTACGTCTTGAACGATTCAAGTCCTTTTCATTGGCTCACTTCTTAAGATACAATATGACGTCATTTGGCACTGTCAGAGTGGAGATGTAGCCTACAAAACAGACAGCACTGGCTGTATTATTCAGGCAGCCAATTCCCACCTATGTAGGCTTGGTGCCTATGTGGAAGCCACTGGTGCCACCCCTACTATTCAAGCAACTGGCAGAAAAACCACCCAACAAAAGATGATGGATTTTTATGAGCTATAAGTGTGGGCGTTGAAGGCAGAGTTCCCAGCAGGAAAAGGCAAAACAAGGCTTTGTTCTGAAATGTCTTACGCATTTACTGGCTAGAAAAAAGAAACCAGTTTGAATGCAGCTCCAATTTATATTAAATGTCTAAAATACATAGAAATTAGCTCATTTTAAGCATATATTGTATACTATTTGAATTTAGTGATGAAGAGACTGGAGCGATAGGTACAGAAACTGCCCATTCCTCAAGATCATGTATCCACTTATTTCATTGTAAAATTTTAATTTAAAGGCACAACCCACTTTAGAACCCAAAAGCATAAAGAAGCATTCAGAAACTGTAACATGAATATAATATTGAAGGTGGATGACCAATTAAATCAATTTTGTGATGACTTACTAAAAAACAGAACCATTAATTAGCCCATTAACCATTTGCCATTTTTACTAAACTTAGATATCCAAATACCAGCTGTAGATTTTCAAGTGCTGGGTGATTCCTTGAGCAGTTTTGGTGCTGCAAAGTGCAAACAGTTGATTCAAGTCAACCAAACATGATAAACTCCCAGCATCTCTCCCAGCATGCTCAGAATTACAGGATTTTTTCCCTCTGTAAACATGCACAGGATTGCATCCTTAAGTACTTGTTATAAAATTTGTCTCTTGTTGGACTCAAAAGGGCTAAAGGGTAAATCCTCTGGGTCCTGGGAGGACATTCCTGAGACCACAGGATTTTGCTGATCTCCTTTCTTTAGGCAGAATTCGAGATCTGTTGCTGGAAGCCTCTTCCCAG